TTAAAAAGCTCTATAATACCAAGTGTTGGCAAAGACCTGGCATACATTACTGATGGAAGTGTAAAATGGTATAGCCTTTTGGTAAACTGGGAGTTTCTTTAAAAAATTAAACATGCATCCACCCTACGAACTATTAGCTCCACTTCTATGTATTTATTCAAGAAAAATGAAAACATGTGTACATAGATACATACACGCACAAACACACAAATGCACACACACAAACGAACCTTATACATGAAAGATCATAGCATATTTCTTTATAATACCCCCAAACAGGAAATAGCTCAGGTTTCCATGAACAGGAGAATAGATAAATAAACTAGTATATTCATACAGTGGAATACCTATTCATCAATAAAAAATGAATTAACTGCAAATACATCCAACACCGTGAATGAATTTCAAAAACATTTTGCTCAGTGAAGGAAGCCAGACATCAAAGAATAAATACTCTATAATTCAATTCATATGAAGTTCTAGAGCAGGAAAAACTAATCTATGGTAATAGAAATCTGGACAGTGGTTGCTTATGGGGGATGGAGAAAGATTGGCAGAGGCAATTGGCTGAATATTCTGGAAATATTCTATATCATTGTAAGGTTGTGGATAATACAGGTGTATATACTTGTCAAAAGTGTTCAAACTGTAATACTTAAAATGTGTATATTTTACTACGTGTAACTATTTTTAATTTTTTGTTAGTTTTTATTTTATTTTTATTTTTAAAAAATATTTTTAAATTTCATTTATTGTTGTTCTTGTTGTTGTTGTGGGTGAGGTAATTAGGTTTATTTATTTACTTACTTGTTTTCATGGAGATACTGAGGATTGAACCCAGGACCTCGTGCATGCTAAGCATGCACTCTACCACTGAGCTATACCCTCCCCCCTGCTATTTTTAAAATGAAACAAAAAGCACTAGCAGATGCTGTACGGGTCTTGGGAAGTAAATGTACAAGGTGAGCATCTTTTCATCCCAGGTAACAAGAAAGATATCAAAGATTAGGAGAGTCATGTCAAAAGGACTTGACTTGAAGAAGCTCCCATGGGCCAACATGGGACAATGTGAACATCAGTAAGGACAATAACTTTAATAGATTGAAACACATGTACTTAAATGCATGTGTTTATAAACATTTTAAAACCATTGGCATCCATTGAAAGTACCAACTCATTATTTTGAAAACTGGTAAATAAAGGTGAAGAATCAAGCGTTTGCTCTGCTTTCCCTATATGAATTGTACCACTGGGTAACCCATTAATAGATGAGAGGAAATATTCTAGAGGGGAGGTTACAGCTCAAGTGGTAGAGCGCATACTTAGCATACACAGAGTTCTGGGCTCGATTTCCAGTACCTCCTCTAAAAATAAATACGTAAGCCTAATGCCTTCCCCCTCAAAAAACAAAAGCAAACAGAAAATATTCTAGCTCATAGGGGTGATAGAATTGGAAAGTTATCATGTTACGACCCTCAGTCAATTACATGATCTAACTACTGAACTCATCACAAAAAGAGATAGCCCTAATGAGAAAACACAGGTGGGTGACTAATGAGACAGTCTTGCCAAAAAAGATCTAACTGGGATCTGATCAAGCCATCAGACGCAAGCAACCCACAGGAAATACCGTGGACAGAGGGCCATGTTCAAAGACACCATAGAGATGTAGTCAGCAAAACTCAGATGATAGACGTTCCAGCCCAGTTTCTTCAACAAATAAATTGTGATGAGAGTAAGAGAGGAGAGAAAAAGAGGGAGAGAGATGACTGGAAGGGGAACTTACAGATTAGCAGAGACTTAAGGGAAATATCAATAGATTGCAAAATGTAGATGTTTTTGGATCTTCATTCAAACAAACTTGAAAAAAAACTCATTAATAAGACAACTAGAAATTTGAACACTAAGTGGACACCTGATGATGTTAATGAGTATTGTTTTAGGTAACTGGGGTTGTGTGTTTTTAAAGGGTTCTTAGCTTTTATATAGAAATATTTACAGATGAAATTATTTGAAGTCTTAGATTTACTCCAAAGTAATACATACAGAAGGACAGAGAATACTGATGAGAATATTAACGAAACAAGATTAATTAATGAATTAATTAATGAAACGTGTGTTGATAACTGTTGAAACCGGGGCGGGGGGATGGATACAAGGGACTTCATTACACCAAATCTACCACTTTTTGTAAGGGCTTGAAATTTTTCACCATGAAAAGTTTTGTTTCAATTTCAAAGGAACACAAAGGAAGAGAAAAGGGGAAATAACAAAACAAAACTTGAAAAAAAACCCCAAAAAAACAAAACCAAAACCCAACCAGATTCTGCAGAAATACAGGAAGGAAATCTAACAGCATGCCTGAATGTTAACCCCTGAACGTATTTCTCACTGTCTGCAGCAGCCAAATGAGAAGGCAGTGGTGAAGACTGTAAGCCCTGGGTTCAAATCCTGCTCTTCTGCACCCAGATGGGGACACTTCAGTTGCCAGGTCTTCTGAGCCTCTGTCTCTCACTTGTAAAATGGAGATGAACTAGTACCTACTTCATAGGTTTGTTGTCAGGATGAAAGAAGAATCTGTGTAAAGTGTGGAGCGTCGTACCTGGTACTGCAAGCACTCAAAAAATGTGGGCTTGGTGACTGTTAATTTATTGCACGTGACGTTTAAGATCAGAAAATAGAACGAAGAGTATGTGCGCTTTTCAGTGAAGGCTGGAGCATTTTTGACGACTTGTCGGCTTTCAAGGTCTTTTTCTGTTCATTTTTCCAAACATAGGACTGAGATTAGACATTATAGTGTTCTGCGCCCGAGAAACTGCACGTGCCTTACGGTAAAACCAAATCAGAAGTCACGGCCGCTCGTCTTGTGAAACAGATAGAGAGGAGCTCCCCGCAATGCCCGCCTTTCTCCCTAGCTCTCTTCACCTCTGGTTTTCTATTTATAATTAAGAAAGCCAGAGAATCCGCCTAGAACTAGAAACTTCCCTCTTTTTCTGCCTGGAGGGGAATGTGAGTAATGGACTTTTCCATCAGGGTTGTTTTTCCTGGACATGGTGTACCACCTCCAACTGCTGAAACATGTGATCCTGAAGGAGACCTTAAATAAACCTCCAAGGTTCCTTATCGGTCAGCGACGCTGTCCCAGTTTCTAATAAATGATGAATTTGTTTTCTATTTTTGGTGCTCTTCCTTTTTAAACAGAAGTTCTATTCATTCAAAATATTAGTTGAGAGAATTCCATGTGCCCCGTGTTATAGCCCCAAACAAGGCAGAAATGGTCCTGAACTCAGCCCCCTAGATCTCCATCCACATGGCCGGCTGCTTCTTAACCCCCAGTCCTCATCCAGAAGCTCTCCATTCCTCTTCATCATGTCCTCCTGC